GAGATCACAGTGAACAGAAGGCCAGTTCTACACAATTAACAGCAACCCGGATACATCAAACAGTTATCAAAACTCACTACTCTTCGCCTTTAGACTTCTTCTTCCTTTTCTTTTTCATGTCACTGGCATCTTGCAGATCCTCTCCATCTTGATCCTTACTCTTCTTCTTTTTCTTCTTTGTGGAAATACCATCCTCCTCAGCTTCAACCCCGTTAGTACCATTTGAGTTCTTAACAGTCTGCTCCAGCTCCAATTTTCTCTTCTCCTTTTTCTTCTTCTTCTCCGATTTAGCATCCTCTGAAGCACCTCCATTTACTGTTGGTTTGTCTTCAGCCATAAGCTCACTATTCTCTGCAGCATCAGATTTTGATTTCTTTTTCTTGCTTTTCTTTGCGGAAGGAACAGCAGTTGCCTCCTCAGTTTCCATATCAGTATCTTGAGAATCCAACAATTACAAACACAAAGTAAATAATCAATATCAAGAGCTGAAAACTGTGAAAGCACAAATGTCAACGAATTAAACAGGTCATTTTTAAAGAACAATCATGAAATGGATGTGGCAAGTAAAACTTACAGCCAGGAACACACAAAGATTGCTCATCAAATCATGTTTGCATGTTAACAATGCAACTGAAGATGCTATGGAAACACATCAAACAGAAAACCAAATATTTTGAAGGTGTATATATATATATATAAACAGCATCATTTTCACTCAGGTACACACCTTTATTTTCATTACTTTCAATTGCAGCTTTCATCACATCAATGTTTTTACGAGGTGCAACACCCTTATCATAGAAATCCAATCTCTCCTCGACTTGTTCTCTTAGTTTCTCCCCAAAAATGGTTGTCCCGTTCTCTGCAACACAAGATGCAAAAATAAGCTAATTCTAGAGTTGAAATAGTCACCCAATTTATGAAAATTTTTGAAATTTACCAGAAAAACAATCAATGCGAGATGCAATAGAACACTTGTTTGCAAGATAGCGAGCCATGCGTCCCTTGTTGCGAGCAGATGCTCGACCAATAAAAGATGAATGGAAAATCAAACCATATTTTGGTGTGTTTCCACGAGTTTTAAGTGCCCTAAGAACAAACCATAATAAAGGTGAATATTTGGAACTCAAAATCTACATGGAAGAATCTTTTAGGTGAAAAACATTAACAGAACAGGTAAGAGTACACAAGTTCCAAAGGGAGCAAAACTCTAAATACTATTTGGAGTTTAGTGAAGCAATAGAAAAGGACAAGTGTTGTTCATAATTATATGATGCAGTTATGCCATATTCAGAGAACGCTAGCAATGGAAAAACACCTGAAGAGTGCCTTCTCAGCACCAAGGATCTGAAGGGTGGAAGAAGGGCACTTGGCCAGATTTGTGAGACTGCCAGCATGAGAAATCAAACGAGCCCCAACCATTTCACCAATCAAGGAAGCCAAATTGGGAGCAATATCATTCATTTTTGTAATTAGATATTCATGGAGCTTCTTCCTGTACTCGGAGAGGTCCATTACCCTTTGAGCGAATTGCTGGACATTAATCAAGTCAATGGGGGACAAGTCTTGCCCTGCAAAAGGGAAAGACAAAGGTGAGTTGACTATGAGACAGGATTAAAAATTGGCTCACGTGTAATATAAAAATAAGAATTCTACCCATTGATGCTTTGGCAGCTTCTACAACCTCCTTTGCTTTATCTTCATCTCCAAGTAAGTCAGTTAGTTCTGGGAGTTTGTCTTCGGACAACTTGGACTTGTCATCAATGAACTTTGCAAGTTTGGCATAGAGATAGTTGTCATTGACGATCTTCGCTAATTCAGGGAAATGCCAAGAATACCATTCTCTGTAGGAAGTTAAGTGTTTGAGGAGATACAGCTAGATTGATACAAATTCCAAAAAATGCAGACAGCATATTGGTATAAAAATCAATCACAAACCTGACTCTCATTGCGAATGAATTGACATCCTTATCAAGAGTATCAAGAAGGAAAATTGCTTGAATAACCATATTGTCAACTCGGTTTACATTGAACTTCACTTTTGCTCTGCTGTAACTGTGTCCCAGACCAAGTTGGGCTTTCTCCAAGTCACCAGGCTGTATAAAGGGATTAGGGAGGAAAAGAATAAAATTGTGAGAAACATATCTCATGAAAGCAAATAACAGGAAAGCTTTTAAAAAAGAAATGCAAACCTTCAAGTCCTTGATGAACCTTTCAAAATGTAATCTTACACCGCGAAGAAGCTCATGAACAAAGTCATTACTTTGGCAAGGAATTTTTGTCACCTCAAAGATATGCGACCCGATCTTTGGCTCAGCAACTCCCAAACTAAACTTTGCCTTCTTTCCCTCCTTGACTTTTGGGAGATTAAGCTCCAAGAAGTTTCTCAATTCATCAGTCATGATACCTGCAAACAAAGACCAATAACAAACCAGACATGAACTAACAGCAAAAATTTAAATATGGAACCAAAGAGAGCAAATTACATCTCTAATATCTGTCATTTAATATCTCGGATAACACAAAACAAGCAATTCATCCAGTGAAACCGCAGCAAATTTAATTACTCTTACTTTTATCAGTGACGGAAAATTATCAATTAAGACATTTTCTACACGTGAATTGCTTTCTTTCTTTAGACACAGTTCCCCCCCACAACCAACCAATAAAGACAGGACCTCTCAAGAACTAAAAACACCCTGTTTAAAAAAAAAACCAAAGCAAGCACAACTATCAGAACAACGACGCTGACTCCTCAGTTCATAAAGCGTTAACTGACCACTAGAACAACCGAAAAAAAGCATCCACAAAGATTAATTAAGTTCATTCACCATCAGAAACATATATGAACAAGCTAATTACTACTTGAAGAAAAAAAAACAACGACATGTTCTTCTTGTTTTCGAATTGCTTCAAATAAAACAGCCTACAAAAACCAACCACTTCCAAGAAATCAATTAACATAGACATATATAAACAAACGGGCCTAAAAAAAGCTATACCTTCAGAAACAGAGTTAATCTGGTTGAGAGCATCAAGAGCAGACTCGAACGGGTGAAAAGCAGTGAGCTGCACTACCTTACCAAACCGGTTAAGATCCGAAACAGAGTTCCTGACAGCCTCGGTGTTTTGTCCAATTTCATCGATACCACTAGCTTGGAAAAGACTGTATCCTGATGAAGTCTCGTATAGCAAATACAGAGCCATTGTTGAGGAAATGAGATGTGTGGCGGCCGCGATGGTGTGGTGGCAGCGGTGGCTGTGTTGTTAGGGTAGGGTAGGGTAGGGTTTAGGTGGCTGTGTTGTTAGGGTAGGGTAGGGTTTTATGTGTTTTAGGGTTTATGGTGAGGCATAGCTTAGTGGGATATGAAGAGTTAAAGAGGGAGAGGGGGTCTGACGGGTTTTTGCTTGGTGTTTTTATAAAGGTGAATTAGGGTTGATGGTGGCCATGGGTCGGGCCTCGTCTAAATTGGTGGTGTGGATTCGTTGCCTGGGTTATTCGGGTTCGGGTTTAGAATATACCATTTGTTATAAAAGCGTGTTTTTCACAAGAAAATTATTCAACTATTTTTATGAGCTTTTTATGATTTGATTTAATAGTTAATAGTTAAAAAAATACAAAACACAAATATATATATATATAAGAAATTTAAAAATATGATCTTTAATAATTTCTTATAAACACAGTTTGAAATTGAAACAGAATTTCTTATATTATAAAATTTTATGTTTTTTTAAGCAAAAACAAAATTTAGAAAAAAGAGAGTTTTATTTTTTCTTATAGTGCATGTAAATAATCATTTCAATTAAAAAATTTATTTTTCATTTTAAAGTAAATTTAATTTGAATTTATGATATAAATTTATTAATAGGATATAGATTAAGAACATGATAGATTATAATATAGAGTTATTTTTATTTTATTTTATTTTAATTACTTATATTTAGTAATATCTATAAATGAGAACTCTTGAACAATCTCTTCAAAAAAAAGAACTGGATAAAACGTTGGAAATTTGTTAAATGAAGATAGTAATATCTATAGTGATATTTATATTTTAATATTATAAAATTAAACTATATTCATTTACCAGAATTTCTATTATATTAAAATATTTGTAAGAGTGTTTTGTTCATAAAAAAATTAATATATAACACGGATAAATATAAATTTTATTTGTGATTCTAGTTTTCAATCTTTTTATTTTAATGAATGTTTTTATTATATATGATGGTAATTATGTTACCATTTGATCAAGCAAGGGGACCCTTTTTAATATTAGTAGAGCTTGTAAAGGGGCATGAATTCTTTTATCTAAAAGACCAAAGATAACATGAGACAATAACCAACTATCCTCTACAAGAAAATAACTAAGTTTTAATTTAACATTGTAATAAATTATAATATAATTTATTAATTTTTATTTCACATGGATGAATATAAATTAGAAATATAAGCATGGATAGATTTTTTATGGATAATTTTGTTTGAATGATTCTTTTAGATACTGGGAACAATTTAAAAGTAAAATATGAAAATTCATAATCTATTTATATTTTTATTATTTATACTTAACAACTTCAATAATAATTTAGAGTTTAAAAAAATCCAACGAATAAAACTTGATAAGAATTTGGATCTTGTATGCTAATATTTATATTTTAATACTATAGGATTAGTTTTTTATGCTACAAACACTATTATATTACAATATTTGTTGTTTTTTTATGTCTAAAGGAGTTCCTTGTTCAAATAAAATATACATACAGCACGTATAATTACTCATGTGATGTGATTTCAATGTAATTATTTGCATTATAGTATCATATTAATGGCAATACAAGTATTTCGCATCTTAATTGTATAGTAAATTTATATCATTACCCTTAAAGAAATAGATCTTTAGCTTCTACCATGGATTTATTTTGTATTTTCATAGAAAAAATACGCAATTAAAAATAAACTATCTATCCCTAGAATTAAAAAAAAAAAAAAACTAATTGATGATGGGGCCTTTTTGTAATTTTAATTTTTGTTGTACAGTAAAAAGATTTCGATGCCCTTGGTATCAAATAATTTAACCCTTAGGTTAAAGGATATTTATGATATTTTGTTGCTGGTTTTTTGTAATTTAATAGTTGGGATGGGGTCAATTGAATATCTTGATAAATAAAAAGAACTGAAAAAATATGTTGTTGTGTGCTGTGTACGCGTTAGTCTTTCCACTGTTTTAGGACGGCGCAAATGGCTAATTCAAGAGATCAAATCTTTCACTTCGAGGTTGCTCCCGATGCATTTTTGCGTGTTCTATTTGAAAAAACAATGCTTGTATATATAAGTTCGCTATTTTGTTGGTGCTTTTCCTCGATCTTAGCACTTGTCCTGAACTTCTCTTTATTTTGTATTCCGTCTGCATTCTTTTGTTTTTGGTTGCTTCATTTTAATAAAAAATTATGAAAATTGAAATTTTATTTAAATTTCATTTTCATTTAAGTTTTTATTTTTGTTAAATTTAATCTATATTATTTTAATTTTTATTTATATAATTTAAAATGTTTTTTATTTGATTTTTTTATTTCACCCTCTATTATTTTTTTCCTAGTAAATTTCATTTTTATTTTTTTATAGTTTTTTTTCCTTGTAATTTTTTTTTAATTTTTTCACTCAATTTAATCATTCAATTTTTAATTTGTTTGGATTTTAGTTTTTTAATTAAACTTATATTTAGAATTTCATGAGTTTGCAAGTTCTTAAAATTATCCTGGTTTTAAAGTTCACTTGGGATTTATTTATTTTATTTTATATTTTTTGAAGCAAATGTTTTTTTTTTTTGGTATTTACTTAATTGGAGATTTGACTATATTTTCTCCAACCTTTTCCTTTATTTTATCCTTTTTTTTAATTTGATTGGGTTTTTTCATACATTTTATTTATTTATTTATTATTTTTTTGAGTTAAATAAAATTAATTAATTGAATATAAACAAATAATTACTCTTTTTTTTTTTTGGCGTTGCTTTAACAATCCATATGGTTTCTTTTAATATCATCATGCACTAATTTGCAATGGAGTTTAAACTATTTCAATGAGGTTTTCTGGTGGTGGGCAATGTTAACATTGCAATGACGATAAATCTCTAATTTTTTTTTTTAGTATGATATTAATAATTTATTTATTTTTATTTATTATTACTAAATATTTTTTATACAGCTAGTCTTCTATCATGACCTATGATGTAAAACTAATTGATACATTACCTAGATTATTTATTTAAGTTAATGACTCAAATATTAAAATTTTATTTTTTGGATTCATTTAAGTTAATGACTCAAATATTAAATTTTTTGTTTTTGCTTTTTTACAAGTACTGTCACTGCCTAAACATCTATGTCATGTGTCTCTCTGTGTGTGTAGTGCTCTCGGCAAAGAAGTTTAACATCTCTTATTTCATTTTTATTGAATTTCAAATTTATTTTGCAAAAAAAAAAAACCCAGTCCAGGAGTCATGTTAAACTTAAACAACATATTAGAAGGGCGCACCCGATCAAACGAAAGAAAACGCAACAAAAATAAAAGGAAAACCTTCATTGATATTTTATTTATCAACACATCGACTAGTTGAAAGAGGTCGAGAATACCTCTCAAGGTTATATGGTGAACATAGGATCGATGCCAGGGTAGAGCATTATTTTTCATGATGGCCAAGCTGGTTTCTTAAGTAAAAATGTCATTGACCTAGATGCCTTTAAAGCCAAACAAAGGGATATGGCAGATATTGCTAAGTTCTTGTAGATGGAGACTTGAAGTTAGGAGGAGAAGTAGGGGATTTCCTTGTGAGATTAGACAGTGTAATCCCGTGAACTATGTGACGTGTCCAATGTCTGCTATTAGAATGATGCGAGAGAATAAGGGATTTAGCGAGGAAAAAGAGGTTAATGAAAGAGGCAGGACATAGTCTGGTAGAGATTGACACGGCACTATTTGCGAGGAGGTAGATTTGTGCAAATTAAACATTGACTTAGCTTTGGTTGACGACGTTAGTCTAGACCAAACCACTTTTTATCCATGTTTATTGTCAAATACTTGTTCTGAAGGCTCCCCCTGCAAGTTAAATTTAGCTGTCCAAATATTAGTTTATTCTGGGATTGATGCTTGCTGGAAGTTACACAATGTGTGTTTGGGAAAGAAAGGAAAGCTAATTGCAGGGAAACAAACTTGTTTGTTTTAACTTAGGACTCTTATGAAAAATAAAATTATCTTTTCTTTAGGTAGATGTGGCTGCTACCAGTGGCAGCCCCTTTATGGAATGGTTGGAAATTTTGTAGTAGAAGCTTAACAATGCAGAAGACAAGGCTCACCTTCTTTGTATTGCTGCTGTTTTGATTTGGCGACTGTAGAAGCATTTTAATAGCGTTGTCTTTAATGGTATTTTTCCAAATCCTCAATTTACTGCCAATCTGGAATGAATTCATATCTTGGAATATGAGCTTGCTATGATGGAAAATTCACTTAGCACTAGCTGTTTGTCCCAACACAGCATATTTTAGTTATCAGGATTTCAATTGGATGCCTTCAGCTCATGGGATCAAGGAAGCTTTGAGTTGGGCCAAGGAGCAAGGGTTAGCTTAATTTGTGCTAGAACAGATTGTTCGGTGCTGATGCAGACATTTTCAATAGAGGACCTCTACTTTTGGATACGAAGGTCATTCTGCATGATGATTTACAGCTTCAAGGGAAGTTCAAGTACTTTTGTTTTGATATATTCGTAGAACTTGTAATAAGGTTGCACATTTCTAGCCAGGGAAGCTAGCATGTGTAGTTGATGACATTTCGGATTCTAGTCGTATTAATGAATTTCTGTCGGAGGATATAACTATGCTCTTGTATCTGACAACAGGTTTCTTTCTCTCTCTCTCTCTTTTTTTTCAATGAATCCATTAGCTGTACTGGCAGAAAAGAGAAAAAGGATAATAAGGAAAGCTTCTCTCAAGAACTTATTTTTAGTTGAAACAAAATGGAAAACTTGAGGGCTCTGTTGGTCTTCTAGATTTATGTTTGGGCTACTTTATATGCCCGTTTCCTTATTTTTGTAAATAACAAATATTTTTTTTCTTGTGGCAGTGGTTGGCTATCACGGTGCAAGATCTTCTACTATACATTATTTAGTCGGGTGTATGGGTTTGCAGGTTCTTGTGCGCACCTTGCAATGTTGAACTCTTCGTGGACTCAATCTCACATTGAAAAGCTTTGGAAGATTCCAAACCGTATTAAGCGAGTATATCCTCCTTGTGGTACATCGGGGCTTCAGGTTTGTTATATTGTGTCATTGCTCTTCTCATGCCAATATCTTCATCGCTTGGGGTTCTAGAAAGTTGAAGTCCAAACAGGTGCTTCCTTTGGAAAGACCTGCAGAAACTCCGACATTTATATACGTGGCTCAGTTTCGTCCTGAGAAGGTGGGCATACTTACATAAACCTAGTGAGCACAAGGTACTGCAGTTTTAGTGGCTTGTTCCGGGGGCCTTTGTGGGCTTACATTCGTCTTTACAGCTTGTGTTTCATGCCTCAGACACACCCACTTTAACTCGAGGCCTTTTCAATTGCCATTAAGAGGTTAGATACAGACATGCCGAGACCTGTGCTCCAGTTTGTTGGTAGTTGCCGAAACCAATTTGATGAGGACAGGCTGCAGAAATTGCAGGACAAAGCAGTTGAATTGAAGATAGATGGGGACTTACAATCCTACAAGAATGTGATGTAAGGTTGGTGCAAGCACTTTATAAAATTGCTCTTTTCTTATTGAAAGTTGAAGAGCCTAATATGAGCGTGTGTATGTATATATTGGCAAGCAAGCAAGCGCTTCATTCTACTGTTCTGTGTGTGTAAATTGTATTCGTATACATTTATTCTTAAAAATACACCGGAAGGATATGATGTGGAGCGTATGCTCCATACCCGGAAGAAGATGATTAATCATACTCTGTTCTGGTTCAGCTTGTTGATCAATTTGATATTTATTCTAGTGTCTCACTAGTAAAAAAAAAAAGCATTTCATTAGGTTTTCTTTGCTTTTGCATGATTCATGAGTTGATTCTGACCGTGCCAGAGTATTCTTGCATCACTATAACTAACTTGTTACGAGATTTCATTTGGCTGAGGAATTGCGAGTTGTGCCTTACTGCTGAATTATTATTTAACCCATTGTTTTGATGTAGAATATGATGTTTGGTCTAGAAAATTTGATGAGAGGTCTGTGGAGGCGATGGGATTATCTAAAAAAGAGGATAGTGTGCTAATTGATACAATGAATCATTAAGTTCAAGAGTTTCTTTTATGGCTAATGATTTATAGTTGATTACCCCACCTTAAATTTCAAGTTGGTTTCAGTTTTATTGCCATCTTCTTTATCTGGAGTTCTTTAGGCTCAGTTAGCTTTAACCTAATAAAGGTATTTTCTTCTTCTTTCCTCTTCGGTGTTTCTTGTGTACATCCTCTGTCTTTGGGTTTGGAGCATATTTTCTCATGAATTCATATATACTGGGAAAGTCTTTCATTGCGTTTTGCTTTTACCTGGAGAAATAGAAAGGGAAGAAAACCCTAGTGTTCTGATCCATGTCTGAACTTTTAACCTTGGCCAATTGACAGGGACTTGGTGAAACTTTTGGGAGGTTCTGTGGCAGGAATCCATTCT